TCCAAAATTCCACTGCAACTCTCCCCTCACCTCAACTCCACACACCACCCCCCCAGCCCTCCCCGAACTGCGCCCGCCGGTTCTGCGCGGTCTCCCCCGGGTGCCCCGACCCCTCAGCGGGTCAGGCCACCCACTCCGGGAGCCCTCCTCTCCCCTCGCCCGCCGGCCCCGGCCTCCCGCACCGCACTCTCGCCGCCTCCGCTTCGCCCCCTCACCTCCGCGGCTCCGGCCCGCGCTTCAGCCCGCCGACTGTTCAGGCGCTCTGCTCCCGGCGGCCGGCGCCTCCTTGGGCTCCCCGGGACTGACAATGAGGGGCGGGACCGGGGGATGACGTCAGCGTTCCAAAAGGCGGGGTCTGCGGCTGGCCTGTATGCCCCGCCCCCTCCGTCGTTTTTTCCCTCTTCCCAAGACTTGGACTCCGCCAAGTTTTTATTGCTCGCCTATCTAGGTGCCCAGGGCCTGTTGTAGTCGCTGTGGGAAATCAAAATGGAAGACAAGACGTCCTGCTTTCAAGAGGGGAATTCTCTGGGGGGGTGGGGAGGGGGGGCTGTGCGAATTAAATGATACAATCCATGTGAAGGTGTTTAGCCCAGAACCTGGTATGGAGTAATCACTCAACAAATACTATTTCAATTACTCAGCAAATGTGGAAAAGGAACTCGGCTTGGTCTCAGGAGGCATGGGTTCCCGTCCCCAACTCTTCCGCTCATATTAATTCATTGTGTGATCCTAAACAAGTCCTTTCCCATCCCTCAATTTCAACTTCTTTAAAATGGAGAGGAACAATGACCAAATGATCTTAAAAGTCCCTCCAATAATTCTATGACATATTTCCTATGGCCCTACTATGCACAAGGTACCCTAGGGCTCAGAGAAGCTGGAGGGGAGCTTTTGAAGGGAGCCCAAGACACTCATCCAGCATGGAACAGGACACAGCCAGAGACACTCTTCTTGTAGATGCCCTCCCACATACTGGCACAGAGCTGCATTCACAAGCCAGGGCACAGATGCGCTGAGGGCTGCTTCCTCTCTGACTACAGCAGCATGCATAGCTGGTCTCTTGAGACATCTCTTGTGTAAGCTCCTTATTGCCTAAGAAATAAAGGCCAAAGCTCTGGCCTGGTCTGATCTCTTCCCACCTTTACATACACACACACACACACACACACACACACACACACACACACACACACTGTACAGTTTATCCAAACTTCCCCTAGCACACCCACTGCTTTCCCACATCTGCCCCATTGCTCACACTCTTCCCTTGCTGTCTCATCTCCACTTGTAACTCCTAGTTTCCCCCAGCCAGAAGCCCACTCTCCTTGCTTGGAATATCCTTGGCTTTGTGTTTAACTCTCATGTGGGCATCAACACACTTTAACTTGTATCAACTTGACCTACCATTTGTTTCTTAGCATTTCCTTAAGGTCAGAAGTCACATATGCTCCCAAACAATGTAGTTGTCATTGTTATTTTCATTATCATCATCATCATCATCATCATCAATATTATTTCTAGCTCCTAACACCACATAGCACCTCTAGTGATAATCCATCCAGTCATTTCATAGTGGAAGACTCTGAAGTCCTGTGGGAGGAAGAGGCTCATGAAGAGCACTGCCACTGGAACAGGAATCAAAACTTCAGTTTCTAGACCCTAGGAGGATTCTGCAGTCACATCTGATTCCCCTTCCCCCCTTCCCCCCAACCCCATGTCTCTGTCATTTGGCACCCCTACAAGGTGGGAACAGCTCTGAGCTCTCTCTGCAAGTTCATTGCAACAGAGCTGACCCATTTCTCCCTCATGCCTATCTCCTCTCGCTTTCCTTACAGAGAGACGGATCTGTGTTAAACTGCCCTTGGCATCTCCACAGTCCTCTAGGAGAGCTGCAGCAAGGCACTGGGCGTTTCCAAAGTGCTGGCCTGTGGGAAGAGGGAAAGGGCTTTGGAATTCTAATTAATTCTCTGTGCTGCGGACAGGCAAATGGCTGTCCTGAGATGCCTGGGCTGGTCCTCAAGAGCCCCTAACAAATTGAGGCTTATTTTTAGAACAGCACATTCAAAAATGCCACTTCCCATGAAAAGCAGGCATGGCCACAGGGTTACTGCAGGCAAAGAAGGAGCCTTTACTGAGTCCTTCCTATGTGCTGACGCTGATTCCAAGCATTGAAAATGCTTGGAAGAGAGAACCCAGGACATGCAGGGGAGGTTCTAAAGACAGAACTTTCTTCCAAAACCCATGACCCCATCAACCAATTATTCATTCATTCACAGCAAAAGCTTTTGGCACAGGACAGATCAGGATTCAAATCTCAGCTCCACCACTTACCAGTTGTGTGACCTTGGACTTTGAAGTCTCTGCATCTCAGTTTCTCATCTGAAAAATGGGAATAATAATAGTACCTATATCCTACAATGGCTGTGAGGATTAAATAAAATAACATGTGAAAGAGCTTAGTTCAGATCCTGGCACCTAGTTCATGCCAGGATATGGTGGCTGCTGTTACTATCTCCACATGTCCTCCCAGTAAGGTCTCTCATGTGTGGTCTCTGGACTAGAAGTAGGGCCAACTAATAGTCCTGACCTCAAGAAGCTCAGTTGGTAAAAGGATTGAGGTAGATTTTCATGAACAGGCAAGAAAAGGTACCTATTGGGTATTATTAAGTGACAAGAGTAAGTTGCAGAATTACAGGTATAGTAAGATCCCATGGTTATAACTTTAATATATGTTTAGCATATGCATAAAAATATGGAGAATATAAAGAAATAAGTAAGAGGCTTTCACCCTTTTTTATTACTTTTTGATTTGCTTTTCTGTGTGTGCACACGCATGTGTATGTGTGTGTGTGTGTGTGTGTGTGTGTGTAACAGGAACTTTCAAAAGAGACTCTACTGGATGCTAAGAGGGAAGAAAGGGGATGAAAATACAGCTACAAGACAAATCAGCAATGGGCATCTGAAACAATTGTGCACATTGCCATAGAAAATTCTGCAGGTCACATCTCATTCTTCATGGCATTCCAGGGAAAGCCCCTGCCCAGACAATTCTCACTTCTACCTCCTCCCCAGCCCTAAGCTGTACTTGAACTTTCTCAACACTACACCCAAAAACAAGACTCCTAACAGAACTCCCCCAGGAATCATGACAAAGCCAGATACTTTTAAGCAGGAAGAATTTTTTTGTTTTTGCTCCCTGTCCTATGCCTCTCCCCCACCTCTCAAAGAATAACAATATGTCAGCATCTTGTGCCTAATGTGCCTAAATTTTCACTTTCGTTTTCCTCATATCTTTTTGCAATTTAATTTTTTTACAAGAAGGATCTATTGCTTAATCATCAGGAAAAAGGCAGTAAAGATATAAATATATTTTTAAAAGGCTAACCAAGCTGGGGTTCGTTCACTTTTGTTGGTTTGCAAACAATAAAGTATAACAAAGTGGTTGAGGCCAGTGCTAAGTCTCACAGGAATCATAGAAAGTAAGAGTGGTAAGGGATAAAACCACCCTCAATTCCTCCTACCATCCCCCAAATGGACTGATTTTAAGTCCTTTCACATATCAGGCCACGGACCAACACATATATTTCATTCATTCCTCCAACACTTATGGATCCTTTACTACAAACCAAGCATTATATTGGGCACTTTATAGATGCTATCTCATATAGGTTATGGAGGTAATTATTCCTATCCTGCAGATTATAGGGAAACAAGGCTCAAGGAGGTAAAGGCAACTTGTCCAAAGTCTCACATCTAGTGGGATCTAAACCAAGGCCTTCACAACATCAAAGCCCAAATCCTGAGGGATGTGCGCTGAATTCCAAAGCCAGTGAGCTGTGCATTCAGGCAGCCATGATGGCCTGAGTGGCCTTGGGCAAGTCACTGATTCTTCTCTGCAGCAGTTTCCCCATCTCTGTGGGATAAGGGCATACCTGTATATTTTATGTAAGTTAAGCGTTTTGTGCGTTATAACACATAATACAAAGGGAAGTTGTTTACATCAGTTCTTCCCGGACTAGGTCCCACTCTCCTTTGGATCTCTTGGTGCTTTCCCCTTTCGTGTGTATCCCCATTAACGTTTATCCCCCTTTAACGCGTTTAGGACCATCTTCCTCGCACAAACTCATATTATTCCCTCCACTAACATGGGACCTCCTCAAAATGGAAATGATGCTTATTCATTTCTCATCCCTTTCTGTCCCCAGTGCAGCATCTGCCATGCATCCATCCATTCCCTCACTCTTTTATTTACTTCATAACAAATAGCTGAGTCCTAACATGTGCCCGGCACTGCACAGACTATAGCATAGCAAAAGTCCCTGCCTTCTTGGAGCTGGATTGGTAGGGTAGAATGACAAGATAATATTAAATACAATTAATTACTTCATGGCAATTGCATTAAATGCCACAAAGTATCAGGCTAGCTGCTATGAGGGCTTTGGAGATGTAGAGTGGGGACTTAACTCAATCCAGGACACAGGGAAGGCTTCCTAAAGGAGAAGGCCTTTAGGGTTAGAGAGGCTAAAACTTGCTCAAGGTCACACAGCTGCTAAGTGGAAAAGCTGGGATTTTAAACCAGATGATTGACTCCATAGCCCATGCTCCATCTACTACACAACACGGCCTTTTATCTCTTTCATCTTATTCTTCCCTGGCTCTGATTGGTAAGAAGGGAGCAAGGTCTAACACTGGATGCTCGTAAAGCAATGTATTTTTCCCAGCTTTGGGGATCAGGGACC